CGACCCTGCCCCCCCACCCCCGCGGGGAAGCCGCGCTCCCGGGGCTGCCTGGACTTGCACGACCCGGCTGCAGGGCCCCCAGCAGAGCCAGGCCGGGGGCAGGCAGCGATCATGGGTGCTGCGAGGGGTGCCAGGAAAGGTGACCGCAGGGGTCAGTGCGGAGCCGCAGCAGCTGTGGGCCACGCTGGGGCTGCGCTTGTGGAGCTGTGGGCTGGGACAATGGTGCAGCAGGCGGGCGGCGCTGGGCGAGGACTCACAGCCCCCGTCAAGCGTGGCTGTGCCTGTGCATAGAGCCGGGAGCGGTGTCTCCCCTGACGTGGGTAACTGCTGCGTGCCCCTGTGTTGGCAGGGGGGGCGTGGCCAGTGGGGGCACCACGGGGCTGAGGGCCGTGGCTGTGCAGGGAGCCGGGGGAGGAGAAAGGAGGTGGCGTCCGCGCCTTTCCTCCACAGAGCCCCCAGGCTTTGCCCCCGGGGTCTTGCCCGCTGCTGCCTGTGTGCGGCACCTGTCTGGAAAGCAGCGGGTGCAGCGTCCCCAGGCCATGGTCCCCACAGTACAGCAGGGTTGGGTCCACACACGGCTTGTTCCACATGACCCAGGAAACCTCCGTGTGGTTCTCAGGCTGAAGCTGGCACCTGCCCTGTCTCTCAAGGCTCATGGCAGCCCCCCTCTGTGGCATGGAGCCTTGTGGGCTGTTTATCTGTGAGTAACCGTGTCGCTTGCCTCTGGTGAGCGTGAGCAGGCGTCTCCCTGACACGAGGGAGGTGCCAAGAGGTCCAACAGGATTTGGCCTCTGATGATAAAGTGCTGCTGCTAGCAGCTGTAGTTAACTGGAGACCCGCCCAGGGTCGCTTTTGGTTCTGCTGTGTCCCGGCTATATTGGTGCACTTCATCCCAAGGCTGGGGCAAAGAGGGGCCTTGGCCCCACTCCTCATTGGTGTGCGTTTGGAGGATGTTGAACTCTTGCTGAGCCGGGGGCGCTGTGTTTGTTAGTGGGCATGTCCCTTGCACCCTGTCCCTTCTGACATGGGCGGCTGCAGCAGCGAGCAG